TAAGTAGAAAACTGGTCTACATACACGTGTAGAGGTTAGAGTAAGTAGAAAACTGGTCTACATACACGTGTAGAGGTTAGAGTAAGTAGAAAACTGGTCTACATACACGTGTAGAGGTTAGAGTAAGTAGAAAACTGGTCTACATACACATGTAGAGGTTAGAGTAAGTAGAAAACTGGTCTACATACACATGTAGAGGTTAGAGTAAGTAGAAAACTGGTCTACATACACATGTAGAGGTTAGAGTAAGTAGACAACTGGTCTACATTCACATGTAGAGGTTAGAGTAAGTAGAAAACTGGTCTACATACACATGTAGAGGTTAGAGTAAGTAGAAAACTGGTCTACATACACATGTAGAGGTTAGAGTAAGTAGACAACTGGTCTACATACACATGTAGAGGTTAGAGTAAGTAGAAAACTGGTCTACATACACATGTAGAGGTTAGAGTAAGTAGAAAACTGGTCTACATACACATGTAGAGGTTAGAGTAAGTAGACAACTGGTCTACATACACATGTAGAGGTTAGAGTAAGTAGAAAACTGGTCTACATACACATGTAGAGGTTAGAGTAAGTAGACAACTGGTCTACATTCACATGTAGAGGTTAGAGTAAGTAGAAAACTGGTCTACATACACATGTAGAGGTTAGAGTAAGTAGAAAACTGGTCTACATTCACATGTAGAGGCTAGAGTAAGTAGACAACTGGTCTACATACACATGTAGAGGTTAGAGTAAGTAGAAAACTGGTCTACATACACATGTAGAGGTTAGAGTAAGTAGAAAACTGGTCTACATACACATGTAGAGGTTAGAGTAAGTAGACAACTGGTCTACATTCACATGTAGAGGTTAGAGTAAGTAGAAAACTGGTCTACATACACATGTAGAGGTTAGAGTAAGTAGACAACTGGTCTACATACACATGTAGAGGTTAGAGTAAGTAGACAACTGGTCTACATACACATGTAGAGGTTAGAGTAAGTAGAAAACTGGTCTACATACACATGTAGAGGTTAGAGTAAGTAGAAAACTGGTCTACATACACATGTAGAGGTTAGAGTAAGTAGAAAACTGGTCTACATTCACATGTAGAGGTTAGAGTAAGTAGTAAACTGGTCTACATACACGTGTAGAGGTTAGAGTAAGTAGAAAACTGGTCTACATACACGTGTAGAGGTTAGAGTAAGTAGAAAACTGGTCTACATTCACATGTAGAGGTTAGAGTAAGTAGAAAACTGGTCTACATACACATGTAGAGGTTAGAGTAAGTAGACAACTGGTCTACATTCACATGTAGAGGTTAGAGTAAGTAGAAAACTGGTCTACATACACATGTAGAGGTTAGAGTAAGTAGAAAACTGGTCTACATTCACATGTAGAGGCTAGAGTAAGTAGACAACTGGTCTACATACACATGTAGAGGTTAGAGTAAGTAGAAAACTGGTCTACATACACATGTAGAGGTTAGAGTAAGTAGAAAACTGGTCTACATACACATGTAGAGGTTAGAGTAAGTAGACAACTGGTCTACATTCACATGTAGAGGTTAGAGTAAGTAGAAAAACTGGTCTACATACACATGTAGAGGTTAGAGTAAGTAGACAACTGGTCTACATACACATGTAGAGGTTAGAGTAAGTAGACAACTGGTCTACATACACATGTAGAGGTTAGAGTAAGTAGAAAACTGGTCTACATACACATGTAGAGGTTAGAGTAAGTAGAAAACTGGTCTACATACACATGTAGAGGTTAGAGTAAGTAGAAAACTGGTCTACATTCACATGTAGAGGTTAGAGTAAGTAGTAAACTGGTCTACATACACGTGTAGAGGTTAGAGTAAGTAGAAAACTGGTCTACATACACGTGTAGAGGTTAGAGTAAGTAGAAAACTGGTCTACATTCACATGTAGAGGTTAGAGTAAGTAGTAAACTGGTCTACATTCACATGTAGAGGTTAGAGTAAGTAGTAAACTGGTCTACATACACATGTAGAGGTTAGAGTAAGTAGAAAACTGGTCTACATACACATGTAGAGGTTAGAGTAAGTAGAAAACTGGTCTACATACACATGTAGAGGTTAGAGTAAGTAGAAAACTGGTCTACATACACATGTAGAGGTTAGAGTAAGTAGTAAACTGGTCTACATACACATGTAGAGGTTAGAGTAAGTAGAAAACTGGTCTACATTCACATGTAGAGGTTAGAGTAAGTAGAAAACTGGTCTACATACACATGTAGAGGTTAGAGTAAGTAGAAAACTGGTCTACATACACATGTAGAGGTTAGAGTAAGTAGTAAACTGGTCTGCATACACATGTAGAGGTTAGAGTAAGTAGAAAACTGGTCTACATACACATGTAGAGGTTAGAGTAAGTAGTAAACTGGTCTACATTCACATGTTGAGGTTAGAGTAAGTAGGAAACTGGTCTACATACACGTGTAGAGGCTAGAGAAGTAGAAAAAACGCACACACACAAATATATGTATATATATATATATATATATATATATATATATATATATATATATATATATATATATATATATATATATATGTAGAGGCTAGTTTACTAGAGAAATAGTAAACTAGTGTACATTCATATGTAGGGGTTAGAAAAGTAGAAAACTGATCCACATATACCTGAAGACATATACATCTAATACACATGAAGACACTTTAGTGAGACATATAGATCTACGTACCACGAAGACACGTTAGTAAGAATTATAGATCGACACTCACACGAAGACACTTATGTGTATGTAGATCTATATGACTTACTATAGTTATAGATCTACATACACATAAGGAGACTGCAGTGAGATATACCCATCTACGGACATCGAAAAGAATACAGTATGTATGACATCAAGACCTACATACAAAAACACTACAGTAAGTAAGACATATGGGTTTACATACATCAGGAGATTTTACATTAACATAGAGCTTCATATACACATGAATAAATGATGTAAGACATATCTACTTACACATGAAGAGGCTACAGTAGCATATATCTCTAAATATACGTGAAAGACTACAGTAACAAATATCTTTACATGCACGTTAAGAAACTACTGTAACATATATACCTACGTATACGTGAAGAGAAGACAGTATCATATATCTCTACATAAAAACGATGAGACTACAGTAACATATATCTCTACTTACATGTGGAGAGACTACAGTAGCATATATATCTACATTCATATGAAGACTCTAATAACATATATATCTTCATACTCATGAAGACTCCAGTAACATATATATCTACTTATACATGAAGAAAAGACAGTAACATATATATCTACTTATATATGAAGAAAAGACAGTAACATATATATCTACTTATACATGAAGAAAAGACAGTAACATATGTATCTACTTATACATGAAGAAAAGACAGTAACATATATATCTACTTATACATGAAGAAAAGACAGTAACATATATATCTACTTATACATGAAGAAAAGACAGTAACATATATATCTACTTATACATGAAGAAAAGACAGTAACATATATATCTACTTATACATGAAGAAAAGACAGTAACATATATATCTACTTATACATGAAGAAAAGACAGTAACATATATATCTAAATACACGTGAAGAGGCTGCAGTTATATATATCTTTACATACGCATGAAGAGACTACATTAACATATATCTCTACGTACTCATAAAGACTCAAGTAGCGCAAATTTTTACATACACATGCAGAGACTACAATAACATTTATCTCTACATACACAAGCAGAGACGACAGTAACATATATCTCTACACACACAAGCAGAGACTACAATAACATTTATCTCTACATACACAAGCAGAGACGACAGTAACATATATCTCTACGTACACAAGCAGAGACGACAGTAACATATATCTCTACGTACACAAGCAGAGACTACAGTAATACATATCTCTACACACACAAGCAGAGACTACAGTAACATTTATCTCTACATACACAAGCAGAGACTACAGTAACATTTATCTCTACATACACAAGCAGAGACTACAGTAACATTTATCTCTACATACACAAGCAGAGACTACAGTAACATATATCTCTACACACACAAGCAGAGACTACAGTAAGATATATCTTTACACACACAAGCAGAGACTACAGTAAGATATATCTTTACATACACAAGCAGAGACTACAGTAAGATATATCTTTACATACACAAGCAGAGACGACAGTAACATTTATCTCTACATACACAAGCAGAGACTACAGTAAGATATATCTTTACATACACATGCAGAGACTACAGTAAGATATATCTTTACATACACAGGCATAGACTACAGTAACATATATCTCTACATACACAAGCAGATACTACAGTAAGATACATCTTTACATACACAAGCAGAGACTACAGTAACATATATCTCTACATACAAGCAGAGACTACAGTAACATATATCTCTACATACACAAGCAGAGACTACAGTAACATATATCTCTACATACACAAGCAGAGACTACAGTAACATATATCTCTACATACACAAGCAGAGACTACAGTAACATATATCTCTACATACACAGGCAGAGACTACAGTAAGATACATGTATGTAGGTGTATGTGAGCTATGTTTTAATGTGGAATGCCTTTATCATTTATGCAGCTGTTAAGTCTTGGTATTCAATATGGCCGTTAACCAGTTTATGTGTGGGCTGGCTAAAAACCGTATTTAATAATAATACGTATGTATGGTCACTAATCATGACCAGCTACTTGACAAACTGCATTTCTGGTGGCGGCTTTAGGCTTTGGCACCTTTAGCAACTGCCTTTTGCATTTTCATCTCACACATATTTCACATGCAGAGACTACAAAAAACATTTATTTCTACATACACATGCAGAGACTTCGGTAACTATTATCTCTACATATACATGCAAAGACTACAGTAACATATATCTCTTCACTCAAATGAAGACGCTACAGTAAGACACCTACATACACATACAGAGACTACAGTAACATATATCTCTACATACAAATGAAGACGCTACAGTAAGACACCTACATACAAATGAAGACGCTACAGTAAGACACCCACATACAAATGAAGACGCTACAGTAAGACACCCACATACAAATGAAGACGCTACAGTAAGACACCCACATACAAACGAAGACGCTACAGTAAGACATCTACATGCAAATGAAGACGCTACAGTAAGACACCCACATACAAATGAAGACGCTACAGTAAGACACCCACATACAAACGAAGACGCTACAGTAAGACATCTACATGCAAATGAAGACGCTACAGTAAGACACCCACATACAAATGAAGACGCTACAGTAAGACACCTACATACACATGCACAGATTACAGTAACAGACAGCAAGCGACGCAAGCCTATATATCATATGACATGAAACTATCAGCCCCGCTTAGCTTGTCAATAAGGATCGGATGGAGACTAGACAGAATATTGACTGTCAACTTCCTGCGTGTTATTATCTTTTCAGTGAAGAGTTCTCTCAAACGGCTGTCTGATTAATTGGACAATCTGAGTCTTTGATTAAAGTTTAGATGTTTCGGAAAACACTTTGAACTCGGTGATCAATTGTTTGATTGTCCGGTCATGGGTTTCAATCATAAGCTACAATCAAGGCATGGGGTTCAGCCATAAAATACAAGTGAATTTGTTTGTACAAGATTATTTATTCTTTGTCAGTTTGCCGCCGATTTAATATATTTCTAATAGCTGTTTTATTTGTGTGATGTTGAAAATACCCTATTATAATCAATACTTGTTTTGCTAGACTGTTTTCTCTGTGAAGTTTTTTATTTTAAAGTAAATGCCTAATCTATTCCCATTTTTTACGATTAAGAAAATGTGTCTTTTGTTTGATATGTTTTCACTTTCTTTTTCACTGTATGATGTTGCCGACTTCAATGAGACGACATTTCCAGACGGAGTGAACTTCAAACAACAAATGGCAACGCTGCTCATTGTCTTCTCCCAATTGGAAGACAGTTTGACAGAGCACTTTCAGCAAAGAGACAGATTTGTTGACCTGAATATATTTACGCTTGTTCAGGCGGTGACTCAAAGGAACTCTGGCTTTTTAGTGCGGCGATGCGCTCATAAACATACACAATGTCTTCTCCTTCTCTCTTCCTTTGCCGCACATACACTGTCCCGCGCTCTCTCTCTCTCTCTCTCTCTCTCTCTCTCTCTCTCTCTCTCGTTTTCTGTCTCTCTCGTTTTCTATCTCTCTCGCACACGCATACACTATGTTTCCCTTTCTCGTACATACATGGTCTCCCTTTTTCTCTATTTCTCTCTCTCGTACACATATACCCATACACACTCACACACGCATACACACACTCCCTTACACACACACACACAAACACGCACACAAACCACACACAAACACACACATACACACACACGCGCGCACACACACACACTGACAAGCCTAGCTAGATAGGGACACCAATAAAATATTGAGTTATTTCAGTGCACCACTTCTCGGTAAATTCCACCATGTTCGCAACATCTCAGTGGTTCAGAAGTTGTGACAAGTAACTATTGCTCAACAATATATACAAGTAAATTTATTGTCGACGGTTTGGTTGTGATAGTCTCTGTTTCATAGCTAGCAACTATTCTTGTCAATGGTAGGTGGTTGGCAGCTGTCATTGTCTATGTTAGGTGGTTGGCACATGTCAGTGTCTATGTTACCTTGTGGGCACCTGTTATAGTCCATGTTACCTGATAGGCACCTGTCATTTTCTATGTTACCTGATGGGCACCTGTCATTGTCTATGTTACCTTGTGGGCACCTGTCATTGTCTATGTTACCTGATGGGCACCTGTCATTGTCTATGTTACCTGATGGGCACCTGTCTTGTCTATGTTACCTGATGGGCACCTGTCATTGTCTAGGTTACCTGGTGGGCACCTGTCATTGTCTATGTTACCTGGTGGGCACCTGTCATTGTCTATGTTACCTGATGGGCACCTGTCATTGTCTATGTTACCTGATGGGCACCTGTCATAGTCCATGTTACCTGGTGGGCACCTGTCATTGTCTATGTTACCTGATGGGCACCTGTCATTGTCTATGTTACCTGGTGGGCACCTGTCATTGTCTATGTTACCTGATGGGCACCTGTCATTGTCTATGTTACCTGATGGGCACCTGTCATAGTTCATGTTACCTGATGGGCACCTGTCATAGTCCATGTTACCTGATGGGCACCTGTCATTTTCTATGTTACCTGATGGGCACCTGTCATTGTCTATGTTACCTTGTGGGCACCTGTCATTGTCTATGTTACCTGATGGGCACCTGTCATTGTCTATGTTACCTGGTGGGGACCTGTCATTGTCTATGTTACCTGATGGGCACCTGTCATTGTCTATGTTACCTGATGGTCACCTGTCATAGTCCATGTTACCTGATGGGCACCTGTCATAGTCCATGTTACCTGATGGGCACCTGTCATTGTCTATGTTACCTGATGGACACCTGTCATTGTCTGTGTTACCTTGTGGGCACCTGTCATTGTCTATGTTACCTGATGGGCACCTGTCATTGTCTATGTTACCTTGTGGGCACCTGACATTGTCTATGTTACCTGATGGGCACCTGTCATTGTCTATGTTACCTGATGGGCACCTGTCATAGTCCATGTTACCTGATGGGTACCTGTCATAGTCCATGTTACCTGATGGGCACCTGTCATAGTCCATGTTACCTGGTGGGCACTTGTCATTGTCTATGTTATCTGATGGTCACTTGTCATTGTCTATGTTACCTGATGGGCACTTGTCATTGTCTATGTTACCTGATGGTCACCTGTCATTGTCTATGTTACCTGATGGGCACTTGTCATTGTCTATGTTACGTAATGGGCACTTGTCATTGTCTATGTTACCTGATGGGCACCTGTCATTGTCTATGTTATCTGAGGGGCACCTGTCATTGTCCATGTTACCTGATGGGCACCTGTCATTGTCTATGTTATCTGAGGGGCACCTGCCATTGCCCATGTTACCTTATGGGCACCTGTCATTGTCTATGTTATCTGAGGGGCACCTGTCATTGTCCATGTTACCTGATGGGTACTTGCCATTGTCCATGTTACCTGATGGTCACCTGTCATTGTCTATGTTACATGATGGGCACCTGTCATAGTCTATGTTACCTGAAGGGTACCTGTCATTGTCTATTTTACCTGATGGGCGCCTGTCATTGTCTACGTTATCTGATGGGTACCTGTCAGTGTCTGGTAATCTTAGTTTCAGCTTCATAGCAAACGGGTCACCCCATCGTTGCTCCGCTCCTGGGCCAAAGAAAAAATACATAGAATATTTATCACAGTCCCTTGTGGAAAGATTGACAGACTGCTGTCTCACTACTAGCATATACACTCATTAAAAGCATACGGTAGCCATCTGAAGTGCTAACACAAGCAGTCCGACATTAGAAATGCAGTTCACCATTTATGGTAGCAGAAGTCACCAACAGATCAGCAGTTGCACATGCAATCAATTTTAATCACATACGGGCACCACCAACATTGCACGACAGGCATCACGCCATTTTCTAAATCTAGAATTCACACCACCACCTTGGTCATAGTTGAAAAAATATTCCAAATAAAATCCGCAGCTCAAAGTGTCACGCTATGCATTCAACTCAGAAGCTGGGCGACAAAATATATCCAGTCTACAAATGGAGCAAAAATGCAACGGTCATCGTCCGCAGAAGCAAAAAAATTGCCTCGGCTCCAAACAGTGGCCTTGCCTAGCATTTTGACCGGAAGTGTCAGTGCCTATGGGGTTGTTGGCACATGTCCTTGTCTATGTTAGATGTTAGATGGTTGGCACTGGTCATTGTCTATGCTATGTGGTTGGTATCTATCATTGTCTATGTGAGGTTCCTGACACCTCCCATTGTTTATGGTGGTGGTTGGCATATGTCACTGTATACGTTTAGGTAGCTGGCACATGTCATTGTCTGTGTTGGGTGGTTTGCACCTGTCATTGTCTATGTTGGGTGGTTTGCACCTGTCATTGTCTATGTTGGGTGGTTTGCACCTGTCATTGTCTATGTTGGGTGGTTTGCACCTGTCATTGTCTATGTTGGGTGGTTTGCACCTGTCATTGTCTATGTTGGGTGGTTTGCACCTGTCATTGTCTATGTTGGGTGGTTTGCACCTGTCATTGTCTATGTTGGGTGGTTTGCACCTGTCATTGTCTATGTTGGGTGGTTTGCACCTGTCATTGTCTATGTTGGGTGGGTTGCACCTGTCATTGTCTATGTTGGGTGGGTTGCACCTGTCATTGTCTATGTTGGGTGGGTTGCACCTGTCATTGTCTATGTTAGGCAGCTGACGTCAATCTTAGACATTGGAGTATTGCTTGCCTGCAATATATTAACATTTATGATGCTGTAGAACGATAACAACTCAGACATTTAAAAACGTTAACATCTCAGACATTTAAAAACATTTAACATCTCAGAAATTTAAAAACGTTAACATCTCAGACATTGTAGAACGATAACATCTCAAGACATTTGAAATCGTTAACATCTCAGACATTGTAGAACGATAACATCTCAAGACATTTGAAATCGTTAACATCTCAGACATTGTAGAACGATAACATCTCAGACATTTAAAATCGTTAACATCTCAAACATTGTAGAACGATAACATCTCAGACGTTGAGACAAGTAAACAAATCACCGTCTGTGGAACATGTAAACAACCAAGACGCCGCAGAAAGGCGAATAGGGCAGCAGAAAGAAGTTGAAAGAAAATGAAATGTCCGTGCGATTTCTGATGTCTGTGCGAGAGCTTTGGGAGGTAGCATAATCTACTGTGTTTGGTTAGCATAATGTGCTCGTGTAGATGGATAACTGAACAGTTCACATCATCACCCAACAGGCGGATGTTGATCGTCAGCCAGCTATAATGTTGTACATAGTGGTGTTGTGTTTGATTGTTCTCTCACGCAGTGCGGGTCAGTTAGGGCAGCCAGCTATAATGTTGTACAAAGTGGTGTTGTGTGTGGATGTTCTCTCACACATTGCGGATCAATTAGACCAGCTAGCTATAATGTTGTACATAGTGGTGTTGTGTGTGGATGTTTTCTCACACGTTGCGGATAAGTTAGACCAGCCAGCTATAATGTTGTACAAAGTGGTGTTGTGTGTGGTTGTTCTCTCCCACAGTGCGGGTCAGTTAGACCAGCCAGCTATAATGTTGTACATAGCGGTGTTGTGTGTGGATGTTCTCTTACACGTTGCGGATAAGTTAGACCAGCCAGCTATAATGTTGTACATAGTGGTGTTATGTGTGGTTGTTCTCTCACACAGTGTGGGTCAGTT